GATCCTTCCACCTTGGCCTTGAAAAGAGCTAGGATTACAGGCACGAGTCACCACACCTGGCCAGTCCAGGTGTAGATTTTTTTGTTGTTTTTTATCCTGGTCAGTGCTCTCTGAGATGCCTGGATCTGTGGTTTGATATTTGTCATTAATTTTGGAAAATTCTCAGTCATTTTCCACTGAGAAATTTAACTATTTCTTCTTTCCTCACTTTCTCTCTTCTCTTTTTGTATTTCCATTACAGTTAAGTTATAACTTTTGTAATCGTCTCGCACCCACAGTTCTTGGGTATTCTGTTCCATCTTTTGTATTGTTTTTTTTTTCGTTGTTTGCATTTCAGTTTTAAAAGTTTGTACTGACATATCTTCAAGCTTACTTATTCTTTTCATGGCTATATCCAGTCTATTGATTAGCCCATTAAAGGCATTCTTCATTAGTTCCATTGTTTTTTTATTTCTAGCATTTCCTTTTTATTCTTAGAGCTTCCATATCTCTGTGTACATTATCCATGTGTTCCTGCATATTGCCCACTTTTTCCTTAGAGCTCTTGGCATATTAATCATAGTTATTTAAAATTTTGGTCTGAAATTCAAAAATTTCTACCACGTCTAAGTCTGATTCTGATGTTTGGTTTGTCTCTTTCCGACTGTGTGTTTTTTGCCTTTTAGCATATTTTGTAATTTTTTGTTGTTGTTGAAAGCCAGACATGCTTTATCAGGTAAAAGGAATTTAGGTAGATGGGCCTTTAGTGTGAGGTTTCATGTTTATCTGGTTAAGAGGTGGGCTTTGTTACTGTTTGTGTTAGCTGTGGTGTCAGAAGCTAAAATTTCCTACTGTGTCCTTGTTTTTGCTTCCTATGTTGTCTTTGGATGTCCCCAGAGACTCTTAAAATGGGGTCTGAGTTGTTTTAGCTGTAATGCGCCGTTATTACACAGGAGCTCTTCTGATGTGGTGGTAAGATGAGGGGGTAGAGGGGAGCACTCTACAGTCCTATGGCTAAGAGTCTTTTAGTGAGCTTGAGTATTTCCCTTCTCCCATGTGGAAGGCTACAGCTGACTAGAGTTGATAATTTCCCTTCCTCCAAATTGGTTAGCTTTTGGTAGATTCAGTTGGTTAGGCTCTGATAGAGTTTTCCTGGAGGGCAGAGACGCTGTTAAGAGGCTTCTTGTTAAAAAGAACATACAGCCCTCAGAGTAGTAGTTCATTATGGTTACTTATCCCTTCTCCCTGGCAAAAGCAGAGCAGATTTTTCTCAAATCTTTACAGTGTAAATCTGACAGGATTCCTAGAAGTGAAACTGAGGTAAGTACTGAGGTCTCTCTCAGACTGAGCCCCTTGGAGTTTTTAAACCCTTAACCTAGTCTGCACTGAGCCTCCAGCAATTCCTTAGTTACAGTTAAGTGTTCCTACTGATGTTGGCTCCAGCTGTGATATTAGCTTCAGCTTCTGGCTTCTGTGCCTGGGCTGCTGCTCCCAGTAAACTGTGATTCTCCGAAGAGCTGTGATTCTCTGTATCCATCTGTCTGTTTCTCTAGTTTTTAGGCCAATACTTTTTCTTCTCAATTCTCTGGGAGATCTAACAAGAGTTGCTGATTTTAGTCTGTTTAGCCTTTTTTCTTGTTGTGAGAATGGGAGTGACAACTTCCAAGCTCTTTACACGTTGAACAGGAAACTGGATGCCCCTTGACATTCCTTTGTAAATTCACCTTAAAATATTGATCATAAATTAAAAGTGCTACTATCAAATTTTCAGTCTATTTATATTCCCCCTAAACTCAGATAAATATACATATTATTTTGTGTATCTGTGTGTGGGGTTCTTTTTGTTTTTTAAGATATAGGGTCTTGCTCTGTCAAGGCTAGAGTGCAGTGGCACAATCATAGCTCTCTGCAGCCTCAAACTCCTGGGAGCAAGTGATCCTCCTGCCTTAGCCTTCAGAGTAGCTGTGACTACAGGCACTAACCACCAAGCCCAGATAATTTTTAAAATGTTCTGTAGAGATGGGAGTTTCGCTTTGTTGCCCAGGCTGGTCTCAAACTCCTGGCCTCAAGTGGTCCTCCTGACTCAGCCTCCCAAAGTATTGGAATTACAGATACTTTCTGTTTTGATTCTTGAAAGGAAAAAACAAAGATTTTTAATGCCTCTTATCTTCTAAGCACTTTCCTTCCAAACAATACACTTTTGCTGCCATTGCTCTTGTTAGGAAAAGCTTAAAGAAAAAGAAACAAGGGTAATAATAGGCCAGGAATCACTTATTGAATATTAGGTCTTACATAGTTTGATACCTGTGTGCATCTGATGCATTTCACTTCCAAAAGGCTCAATGGTTTATGTTATTTAGTAGTAATCCAAATTTCATGTTTTACCTAGCCTCCTGATTCAATGCCCAATTTCCTACTAAATATGGGCTAGGGGTCAATGGCATCCTTTGCAAGTAATCTTGTAGTCTACTCAGAAAGTTCTGCAAAGTTAGAAGGTGATTAAATGACTGTTTGTTAAGATACACTTACATAGTAATAACCTAAATGTATTTATTAAATGGTTTTAAAGAGGGGGATTTAAAATTTTATCCAATATGAAATTTTCCTTTTCTGTGGCTATTTAAAAGGTTTGAATTAGGGGATACTATTTGGTGCCTTTGTAATTATATGAAAATTAGTTGACTGAATATCACCACTTTCCATGATATTTATATTTGTATATACACATATATACATATGTGTATACTACTTTCCTCTCCATGTTCATATTTACATTTGTGTATATACATATATACATAAAAATATATTTTATACATTTTTGAAAAGGAAAATTAAGTTTAGATCAAATTTAATGAATATTCAAAAATAACTTGCCGGGCGCGGTGGCTCATGCCTGTAATCCCAGCACTTTGGGAGGCCAAGGCAGGTGGTTCACAAGGTCAAGAGAGTCAGACCATCCTGGTCAACATGGTGAAACATGTCTCTACAAAAAATACAAAAAAAAAATTAGCTGGGCATGGTGGCGAGGGTCTGTAATCCCAGCTACTCAGGAGGCTGAGGCAGGAGAATTGCCTGAACCCAGGAGGCCGTGATTGCGGTGAGCCAAGATGGCGCCATTGCACTCCAGCCTGGATAACAAGTGCGAAACTCCATCTCAAAAAAAAAAAAATAATAACTTTTGTTGATCAAATTATTTTTCTGCTTGAAACTTTTGAAATGATCCAAAAAATTTTTAAATGACTTAGGTTTGCTATTACAAAATGCTTGTCTTTTGATGTCACAAACATATACTATAATTACTGGCCAGAGAGAATTGCTCTAAGTGTAATGAAAAGAGAAATGATTGATGAGCAGCTATGCTTATAAGTGAGGGTGAGAACACCATGGGCAGTTCCAAAGCTGAAAACAGAAAATATATGTGGATTTATATTAACATAATTGGTATTCCTGGATAGTTAAAAATGGCTAAACTGTAGCAGAAGCCCAAGTAATTACTGTTAACAGAGGCATAAATTTGCGGGCAATAATAATAATAGACCAGGCATGGTGGCTCATGCCTGTAATCCCTGTACTTTGGGAAGCCAAGGCAAGCAGATCACCTGAGATAAGGAGTTCAAGGCCAGCCAGGCCAACATGATGAAACCTTGTCTCTACTAAAAATATAAAAATTATCTGGGTGTGGTGGTGGGCACCTGTCATCCCAGCTCCTTTGGAGGCTGAGGCCAGAGAATCACTTGAACCTGGGAGCAGAGTTGCAGTGAGCTGAGATTGCACCACTGCACTCCAGCCTGGGGGACAGAGCAAGACTCCATCTCAAAATAATAATAATAATAATGCCACCAACAATACTAACATTTACTGAGTGCTTACTATGCACCAGATATTGTTCTAAGTGTATACATATTATCTCATCTAACCATCCATAATACTGTGGTACAGACACTTTTATATCCATTTTACAAATAAGTAAACTGAGGTATAGAGATATTAAATGACTTGCCAGTAAGTTTCAAAGCCTGTGTATAAGCTCACTCTTGATTCTGGAGACAGTGATTCTTAACATAGTATCTTCAGAATGTTAAACTAAAAGATTTGTAATTTACAGAATTAGTTTTTCCACAATTAAAAAAGAAATTATGAGTAATTATTTTGAGTTCTCTTCAGGCATTTCCCTTAGTTCTTTTCAAGATCTAATACATATCATTTAGTGTTGTAGATCTGATAAACAAAAGTAGCACAAAGATCAAAGTTTTTTTAGAGATGGAGTCTCGTTAGGTTGCCTAAGCTGGAAACTCCCTAGGCTGGCACTCCCAGGCTCAAGGAATCCTCCAGCCTCACCCCGCTCAGTAGCTGGAAACATCTTGTCAGCTAGGTCAACATTTAATTATAACTTTATAGGTCTACTGACCAGTTAAAAAGAGGTGCTGTATACATTAGTTGTTGTCAGAGTTTGATGTCTTTATATAGGCCATTGTTTTTACATGCTAATACAATTGAAAGCCAATACGGATATCTCTGTTTACATCCCAAAGCTAGGTTTTAACAAGAAACTCATAAGGCAAAGGTGAGAAGTAAAATAATTTAGTATCAAGTGGAGATATATTTGCAACGTTCCTTGGTTGAGCTCAAAATATATTCTTTTTTTCTTTTAAAAGACTGACAGGCTTGAAGCTTATGCCTCCAAAGACAAAAGTGATTATTTAGTAGCTTGCAAAGTTGCCAAAGGCCATTTTTTTCTACTGAATTTGGTTTATACTCTTATTAAGGTCATTTATACCTATTTGTAACTGCTTAACATAGTTTCAGATTTTAAGATTTCCCTGCAACTTCATTTCCCCTGAGGTTTACAGCAAGAGAAGTTAGTTTTTATTTTTAATTAAACTCCACCACAGAAAAACTTAGTGGACAAGGAGAGTTCCCCTGTGTTCCATGGCAGAGTGCGGTGGGTGACACTGACCCGTGGTTAGGTAACCTGACAAGGAAAGACCCGTTGTAACACATCTGAACAATGAGACCAATGGAAGGGCTTGCTGCCACGAGGCGAAGTCTGCTTTTTTGAACTAGGAACTCAATCAGAGTTGGGCGGCAATCCTGCCCAGCACTGCGGCGGAAGAGAAAGAGAGCCGGAGCCTTACATTACTGCACCAAGAGTATGAAAATATGATGCAGGTTTGGGACCCGGCAACTGAAATCCCTTCTCAGCAGCGCCTCCCAAAGCTGGCCACCGCCTTCCTTAGGAGAAAGCCCAGAGTCCCCAGACCCGGGCTGAGCCGCGCCCCCAGCTCTTTTCTCTTTCCTCCGCAGCTAAACACAGACGAGCACGTGAGCGGGGCAGCGCGTCCCAGCTGTGCCTCAGCTGACCGCCTCCTGATTGGCTGAGAGCGACGTGGGCTGGGGTGGGGACTGGCCGCCTGCGTCGCTCGCCATTGGCTTTCGGGGAACCCGCCTCCACCTCAGGTGAGGCGGGCCTGCGGGAGCAAGCGCCGGCCCGAGCAGGCGGCGGGCGCGCTCCCGCCCGCTCTCCCCTCTCCGTGCGCCGGAGCGCGCTTCCGCCTCCTCTCCCCTCCCCGCGCGCCGGAGCGCGCCTCCGCCCTTGCCCGCCCCCTGCCGCTGCTTCAGCTTCTCAGTGCACAGAGCTGCCTCGTCTGAGGGGACGCGAGGATCACCCTCGTCGTCGCTTCGGCCACTGCGTCGGGCTGGGCCCTGACAAGCCGCCCGAGGAAAGAGGCTCGGAGTCTGGCCCGGACCCCGGCGATTGCCGCCCACTTCTCTTCCTTCTGGTCTCACGAGCGGTTTCCCGCCTCGCACCTCCACCTCTGGACTTGCCTTTCCTTCTCTCTCCGCGTGTGGAGGGAGCCAGCGCTTAGGCCGGAGAGAGCCGGGGGGCTGCCCGCCGTGAAGGCACGCGGGGACCGATTCACCATGGAGGGCGCCAGCGGCGCGAACGACAAGAAAAAGTAAGCCTATTCCCTCGGCCGGCCGCCTTCGCCGGCGCCCCTGCCCGCCGGCCCGCCCTGGGCTCCCGGGCCAGCGTCGGCGTTCCTGGGGGTGGGGGGGGGCAGCCTTTTTTGTTTCTGCCGCTTCTCCTCTCCCCTCTCTTTCCCCCAACCTCGCCGGCCAGGCTCCCCCGCTGTCCACGTCGCCATCTTGTCGTGGGGGGTGGGAGACGCCTCTAAAGTGCTTTCAGGGGCCGGGGTCTGAGCCCTGCTCGCCCTCCCCGCCGGCCGTGGGGGCCTCGCGCCGCCCACCTACCCGCCTCAAAAACCCAGCCTGCTCTGTGGCCCCATCCGGAGGGGACTTTACCCAGCCCGAAAACCCCGAGAAGAGAAATGAGCTGCAGCTCGGTCGTCGCGGTTTGCACCCGGAGCTTCCGCTCCTTCCCGCCCCCATCCCCTCCGGTTCCATTGAAAACTCGGCCCTGGGGCGGACCCTGCACGCTGGTCCTGTCTTCCCTGTGGGCTCCCGGCCCTGAGTTCCGGACCGACGGACTCGCGTGGTCGGATGCGATCTTGTCCTGTGGTTGTCCAGCCGTCGCGGGTGTCTTTGCCTTTGTGCATTAAGGGATTTGCCGCGATGGCTTTAAGATGCGAACTTTTTAGTTTGCACGTGCAGGTTTTGTTTTAATCGCCTTGAAAAACTTGCCTAGACCGAGAGTCAGAGTAACGGGAATTTAGGGAAATAGCAACATTTTAAAGAGAACTTCAGAATTGAATACTTGTGTTCATATCACCTGTCACGGCAACGCAGATATTATAAATGAATATATGCCTCATTAATTCTTGAAATAGTGAAAATGTAGGGGCTGATTAAATGTAGGCAGTTTTAGTGATATTGAAGAAAAAGCGTATGATGAGTTAATGAAATACGGCACTAAAATGATGCAAAAATTTTGGAATTGTCTCATTTTTCTGAAATCGAAGTATATTAAAGGAAAACCTTTAACATATATCCAAAGTAAATAATCACTCGGTTAGAACTGAATCCGAGTTTTATAAATCACCTTGAAGTTGTAGTCTAAGGGGTACATTAGATATTAAAAATTGTGATTTGTACCAGTGGTGTTAAGAGCTAACTTCCCCATCCCTCAACACACACACACAATTTTGTCCACTTTGGTATTTAAACTTTTAAGGAAATTATTTTAAGGAATTGAAGATTTAGAGTAAGAGTTTTGGTTAGTAGACTGGCTTTGCTGGCAAATCCTTCCACTCTCTGGGAGAGAGATTAATTTCCCTAATCAGTATCAGCAGAAGATAAACTTGTTTATATTCTTGTTGTTTTGTAGATCCCTTCTCCTGGTCCCTCTTCAGTAGAATGTTAAATTTTCAGTTTGTGTACACCAGAGAAGGCACTAATAAAATTCAAAAAGTGAGCGAACAGGTCTAGATTAATTCCAACAGTTACCAGGAATTAATTGCAGTTTATTTTGCGGAGGTGATTACAGTGCTTTTGATGAAATGATGAGCTGCTATATTGTAAACCTAAGGCAGATTGCCTCTCTATAGTGCCAATTTTCTGTCCTTATTATATATTGAACCATACTTAATACAATGCATTAAATTATGCACCAATCACTTCCTTTTTATATACAGTATCGAACTCATTTCTTTGCCATTCATCAGTTCAGAATGTCAGAAGCAGCTTTGAAATAAGTGAATAAATAAATTAGCTACTGTTCCTCAGCCCCAATTCTAAATGAGTTTCTTAGATTTTCCTCAGCCCATGTGTTACTTTCAAAATGTTCTCACTTAAAAAGTTAGAACCTTGGATAGAATGGACTCACATTTCTTAATATAGAAGATCTTGATATAACCGAGAAATTAAGTTAAACACTTAATAAATGGTGGTTACTCAACACTTTTAGATGCTGTTTATAACAGATGACCTTTTCTAACTAATTTACAGTTTTTTGAAAGATAACGGAGATTGGGGGATGGGGATTTTCTTCATGCAGTTTTTGTTTTTTTTTTTTTTTTTTTTTCGTTTGAAATGAGCTCCCAGTGTTGGAGTTTGGGAAACAAATTTGTCTTTTTAAGAGAAGGTCTAGAAAACTCAAAACCTGGAGAACTGGAAGAAATCAGAATAGAAAATGGGTATAGTTATAATATTAGAGATTTAACATAGGACATTTCATGTGGGTTCCTTGTTATAGGGGCTGGACTTTAATAGAACGTGTATTTTGATTTTTAGATTTGTAAAGGAATGTCAAGAAAGTAATGATTCTGTTTCAGGCTTCAGGCCAGACCACTTCAAAGTTTTGCGAAACAAGTAGTTACTGAATCATTAAAGTAAAATTTCTGACAATAGATATTCCTTAATTTCCTTCTTTAATTTTGGACGTTAAAAGTCAAGAGGCTCTCTCGTTTATTAGCAAACTTTTCTCCTTAGAATTCTACTTTGATTTTCCTTTTGTTTGAGGAAGCAGCATATAATGATTAAGAGCATAGGATCTGGAGTCAGATACCTCGAGTTAAGGGTCCCAGCCCTTCACTGGTGAGCTTGAGCAAGTTACTGAATGCCTCTGAGCTGTTTTCCTCCTTTTGAAATGATAAGAATAGCAGCCATCTGAGCAGTTATTGTAAAGATTAAATGAGATAATGCATATAAAACAGTTAGTTGCCTGGAATAGGAGTCTTGGTGACATTGTGTACTTGAAAATAGATGTTGCTTGTTAAAATTGTGATTTAAACTTCCACAACTCTTAGAACTCTTTTTGCTAGGCCTTCCAGCTATTAACTTTAGTTTCTTTTCTGCATCTTCATGCATCTTTCCTATCTTCTGAAAGTGAAAAGACTAACATTGGATCCAGAGTTTTAAAGGACTTTTTCCCTGCTAAAATGGGCAAAAGAGTACATCCAGCCGGGCGCAGTGGCTCATGCCTGTAATCCCAGAACTTTGGGAGGCCGAGGCCGGTGGATCACGAGGTCAAAATATCGAGACCATCCTGGTCAACATGGTGAAACCCCGTCTCTACTAAAAATACAAAAAATTAGCTGGGCATGGTGGTGCGTGCCTGTGATCCCAGCTACTCAGGAGGCTGAGGCAGGAGAATTGCCTGAACCCAGGAGGCGGAGGTTGCGGTGAGCCGAGATTGCGCCATTGCACTCCAGCCTGGGTATCAAGAGCGAAACTCCATCTAAAAAAAAAAAAAAAAAAAAAAAGTACATCCTGGGGTTATGTTGGCATCTAGCATCAGCTATTTTTCTTGAGCATCTGATCTACTCTGTATTCTAGGCCTCCTCCTTCAGAATTCCTCACCCCTGCGTTTTCTCCCCAAATAGAATACTTTGAATTTACTCTGGAAGCTAGAGTCAAACATACACAATATTCTAGTCTTACTGTTAATTTAAGCAAGATATGTGCAGGACACTGCACTTAAAACATTTTTTGGCTTGATGCCAAAGTTTAGACTATTTTATAAAAATTAACCTTTGTAAGATAATGAGTTGATAAAATATTCTCAGTAAAGCCCCTATATGGTAGAAAAACTGTCCTTTGAGTTTCTCCAGAGTTCAGACCATTGGGTTCCATCTGAAGGCAAGGCCTCAAGGTTGTCTTACTGGTCTGAGTTTTGTGGTTCAATTTGTAGGAAGTCTATATTAGTGCACTCTTTCATACATGTGTATTTACTGAGCTATCAAGTTATTTTAGACCTAGAAAGTATTGGAGTTCATTCCTATGGTCCACTGCAGAGCACCTTGTTTAGTTTGGAGAATGTCAGCCTTTCTACCTGTTAACTTCCATTGTCTTTCCTTTTAACGCGTTGTCTTTCCTTGTCTTTCCTTTTAACGCATTGTCTTTCCTTGTCTTTCCTTTTAACGCGTTGTCTTTCCTTGTCTTTCCTTTTAACGGGTTGTCAATGGCTCTAATGGTGTCTGGGCTCAGGGTTTAGTTTGTGGCTACATTCTATTGTTGTATGTCAAGAGTGGTGTATAGAAAGCTGAGGGGATTTAATTAGTCTTTGGACTGATTGTATTTTTTCCTGAAGAACTCAAAACAGTTTATGATCTTTGGTGGTGAAATTAAAAATTTTTGTGCATAGATGTTAAAGATTGGGTTAAATAACTGCGTGTTCATAGATGCCTTCTCTCAAAAATTTTTTAAAATTTAGATACTTGCAATACAGTATCCCTTTATCTAAGATTAATGTAAGTCCATTTCTTAACCAGGAGAAAATAATCTAAATTTAAATGTGTTGTTGGATGAGTTTCCAATCAAGAAATTCATTTTTTAAACTTTGTGACTAGTTATCCAGTGGGTGGATTTTACCCACTGTGTGTATGTGTTTTCTGCTTAGCTCTGAAAGGTTAGAAACAGAATTTGAAAGTAAGACAAACCAACCTTCTTGTTGCTCAGTATTTTTGGTAAAAAATATGGTGAGAATGTTTAAATTAACCATAGGCTTTGGAATTTTAAAAATAATGTGTCTCTTGACACATCAAGAATTAACTATTTTGTATATGCATTGAGTATTCATGTTCATGCTTTCTGCAGTAGAAATTTATAAACCCGTATCTACTTGCCTGACATGATCCCTTTAGAGAAACCTAGTATCTAAAATCTGAATTTATGAAACAAAATTAAACATTCTTGTTTCATAAAAACAAAAATTGTGATTACTTCATGGCTTTTTTTTAATAGCTTTTTATTGTTTCTTTTATTTTTCTACTTGGGTTGATTTCACATCTTGGTTATTGTGCTGCTATCAGCATGGGTCTGCAAATCTCTTCGAAGCTTTCACTTGTGGATATATATCCAGAAGAGGGATCCTGGATCATATGGTAACCCTTTTTAATTTTCAGGGAACCACCATATTGTTTTCTACAGTAGTTGTACCAGTTTATATTCCCACCAACAGTGCACAAGGGTTCCTTTTTCTCCACATCCTTCTAAACACTTCTCTTTCTCTGTAGTAGCCATCTAATATGTTGAGGTGTTTGTTTTTAAGGGCTTGTTT